CAGCCCTGTAGCCTCTCGAAGATAAGTACAAACGTCACTATACCGATCCACAACTACATTTATGATCAACCCGTAGAAACACCCAATACCTAGTGTCACAAGTGCATGACAATTTTCTAAGGAGTGCAATAATAATACAACATATGTCCCGAATGTAATAAGACAGAATAAAATAAATGGTACAATGGAGACTCGGTGGACTGTGATGCGTAGCCTGGTATGCAGCTCACATAAGTCTCCTCAACAGGTGCGCCTACACACCAAGGTGATCATCAAATAAACCTGTCAGATCCTACACATTTAGTGCAGAAGTGCAACATGAGTACGTAAATCAATGCGTACCCAATAACTATCTAGCCTAAACTCAGAGAAGTAGTGATAAGGGGTCTACATCGACACTTACTAGAGGTCCAATAAAATAATGTAATAAAACATGAGCATATATGAAGCATATGACAATGATGGAGTAAATCTGTAAGTTACATAATCTTCCAATTTCTTCTTTTAAAGCATGAATTTCTAAATCATGTATGCTACCTTAACAACTCAGAAAATGTCAAGTGTCATTATCAAATAAATAAGGAATACCATATAAAATGTCGGGCATCAGTGGAAAGATTAGCTTGTGAATATTTGGTCTACTAGCGATATAACGCACGATTATGCAGAGGTCGTTCGGCCCGATGTGGAATAATATGTACACTGACGAGGGTCGTGCGGCACGAACCATAGATGCATCTATATACTGTCGAGGCGTTTGGCCCGCTTTACAAGAAAAGGAAGGAAGTTACCGAATTAAGAGACACGTGTTTACAATACAACACATGAGCATAAAATGAATATAATCTTTATTATTTCTCAAATAACTCGCCCACAACTCAAAGTGTTAAGGCTTGGCCTAGTGTACATATCTTTATTTCTAAATCAATTTCAATTATAACTTCAATTAATTAAGCCAGCAGAATGAGTTCAAATAATTCAAATATTATATAATAAGATCCTAAGTCTACCCGGACATAAATATACTGTAGCCACGTAGGGACTCTCGTCACCTCGTGCGTATGTAGAACCCACAACTAGTTGTACATAACCACAAATATCACCTAGGGGTAGTTTCCCCCTCACAAGGTTAGACAAGAGACTTACCTCGCTCCGAAGTTCCATAACTGGCTCCAAAGACTCTCTAACACCTCAAACCAATGCCCGTCGATCCAAAACTATTGAAACAATGTGCAAAGAAATCAAAATATACTCCAATACCCATAATTAATCAATTTAAACAATTCCCAACTCCGCTCGAAAAGTCGATAAAGTCAACCCTCGGGCCCACGTGCCCGGATTTCGAAATTCTTTTGAAGATAAAGCTTAACCATAATACCACGAACTCAAATATGTAGTTTATTACTAATTCCATGTCCAATTTCGTGGTCAAATATCTAAAATACCAAATTCTAGGTTTTCTACCAAAAATTCCAAATTCCTACTAATTTCTATGTTTAAATCCTTATACCAACCATGTATTTAACTTGTAATAATTGGGAATCACTTACCTTATGTTGCTTGATGAAAATATCCCCTTAAAGTTTGCCGAAATCGCCCCTTTTTCGCTTCTGCGGCCAAACAACTGCAGGTGCGCATCCACTTCTGCGAAAAACCTTCGCATCTGTGGACTGCCCAGCTCGAGCACTACTCTGCTCCTGTGCACCCATGACTGCACCTGCGGCTCCGCAGGTGCGCTACAGCACCCGCACTTACGATCGACTAGCCCAGGCCATTTCCGCTTCTACGCTCCTCCGCCCGCATCTGCGAGCCCGCAAGTGCGGCATATTCCTCGCACCTGCGAATCCTATCCATCTAACTCCCTACCGCTTCTGTGACTCCTGGGCCGCTTCTGCGGCCATAACCTCGCAAGTGCGATCGCACTAGAAGCCTTAAGCTTCAGCAGTTCTTCCAAGTCCAAACTCGATCCGTTTTCAATCTGATTCGCACCCGAGGCCCGGGACCCCATCTAAACATACCAACACATCCCATAATACAATACGAACTTAGTCGAAGCCTTAAACCACGTCAAACAATATCAAAATCATGAATCGCACCTCGAATTAAACTTATAAATTTTTAAATTTCCAAATTCTATATCTTGTGTCGAAACGTATCAAATCAATCCGTAATGACTTCAAATTTCACACACGAGTCATAAATGACAAAACGAGGCTATTCCAAGGCTCGGAACCTCAAACGGACATCGATAACATCAAAATCCACTTCAAACCAAACTTATGAAATTCTTAAACCTTTAAAATACCAACCTTCCGTAATAAGCGCCGAAATGCTCTCGGGTGATTCGATACTCAACCCGAACATACAACCAAGTCCGAAATTATCATACAAATCTATTGGAACCTTCAAATCCTGATTCCGAAGTCGTCCACTCAAAAGTCAATCTTTAACCAATTCTCCCAACTTAAAGCTTCCGAAATTAGAATTTTCTTTTAGAACCAACTCCGAACTTTTTGAAGTTCAATTCCGACCACACGTACAAGTCATAATACCTGAAATAGAGCTACTCAAGGCCTCAAACCGCCGAACGACGTGCTAGATCTCAAAATGACCGATCAGATCATTACATTAATAGTCTTGGTTTAGCTAATACCATGGTTTGTTATGCATTAGTTATACATAGGATAATACCAAATAAATTATATAACTAATACTTGCAATAGTAATATATAGGTTAAAAAAGTGTACCAAACAAGGATTAGTAATACTAAAAGCTAATGCATGCATTAATATTTTCTCTAATGCATTCTACCAAATGATCTCTAAGAGTATCCAACTCTTTATAAGTAGAATCCCTTTTCTTTGTACTTGTGATGTGGGTTGGACTTTGTTTACACATAGCCAACGGTGAAGATATAATAAACAACAACAACAACAACAACAACCCAGTAAAATCTCACTAATGGGGTCTGAGGAGGGTAGTGTGTACGCAGATCTTACCCTTACCCCAAAGGAGTAGAGAGGTTGTTTCCGAAAGACCCTCGGCTCAAAAAAACAAAAAGACAAAAGGACAAAAGGAGACAATATTAGTATCACCATAACAATCATAGAAAAAATAGGAATGCCATGAAATGCAGAAGAAAGATGCAAAGCAAAAGTGATAGCTAGTAAATAGGACATGCACTGAAAAGCGAAGTAGTAAAACACCACATTGTCACTAGCTATCTTAGAAAAAAAACCCTACCTGACTAGTCCCACAATGGTACGAAGTAAGTCAAGACTCAACTATATCCTAACCTACAATTCTAATACTCGACCTCCACATCTTCCTATCAAGTGTCATATCCTCGGAAATCTAGAGCCTCGCCATATCCTGTCTGATCACCTCTCCCCAATACTTCTTAGGCCGCCCTCTACCTCTTCTCATGCCCTCCACAACCGGCCGCTCACACCTCCATACCGGAGCATCTGGGCTTCTCCTTTGAATATGTCCGAACCATCTAAGCCACGCTTCCCGCATCTTGTCATCAATGGGAGCCACGTGCACCTTCTCCCGAATAACATCATTCCTAATCTTATCTATCTTAGTGTGCCCGCACATCCACCTCAACATCCTCATTTCTGCTACTTTCATCTTCTGGATATGTGAGTTCTTAACGGGCCAATACTCAGCCTCATACAATATGGCCGGTCTAACCACCGCTTTATAGAACTTACCTTTGAGTATTGGTGGCACTCTCTTGTCACACAGGACTCCAGATGCTAACCTCCACTTCATCCATCCTACCCCAATACGGTGTGTGACATACTCGTCAATCTCTCCTCCCCCCTGGATAACCGAACCAAGGTACTTGAAGCTGCCTCTACTCGAGATGACCTGTGATTCAAGCCTCACATCCACGCCCACTTCCCCTGGCTCAGCGCTGAATTTATACTCCAGGTATTCCGTCTTCGTCCTGCTCAGCTTGAAACCCTTAGACTCAAGAGACTTTCTTCAAACCTCTAGCCTCTCATTAACACCGGCTCGCGACTCATCAATCAGAACTATGTCAAGAGATATAAATAAAGTTTATTGGCAAGAGAGACTCATTTATCACCCTCCCCAACTTATCATACGTATTCAAGAGAGAGTTTAGGACCGAAAAAAGATCAGGTTCCACACATATGAGATTACACGCATAAGGTATAGAATGATCAGTTTCTTAAATTGAGGAGTCGATCCTATAATTGTTTTCTGTGTTCAAAAGATGTGGAATGTAAATGATGGGTTTATCCGAACATAATAGTGTTGACTCGGACCTTCTGTATGAGTTAAAAAGTCCAGTAAATAAGTATGAATAACTAATTACAAACTTAAATAATCAAATAGGTCGTGGTAAAATTCCAAAGTGGAATCCATAATTAAGTTCAAATCCTAAAATTTTGTATTTGTAATAGATATATTTTGCATTTATTGATTTGAGGTGAACGGTTGGGATAAAGTAAAAAATAATTCAACGCGTGACAACGATCTTAAGCACGTGAATTGAAGCAAGTCAAATCCTTTCACAACAGAATGAGACAAGAATTCATGCCTTTGTCTTTTTCTAAAACTAGTATCCGTACCTGCCCGTTGCGCGAAAAATATTAAATAGTATAATTTTTCATAGGAAAATATTACTTGAAAAATACGGTAGAAATAAAGAAGCATTCAAATGCTATTATTTATTAAACATGTAAATGCATTGGATATTCATACATTGAAGTCATGAGGAAACACACATATCCATTATAATGCAACTATTAAGGAAGATAAAAGAAACTTTTGATTATTGGTCACATTCAGATTCTAAGACATATATATTAGAACTTTATAAAAGTGGCAATAGATTCTACGCAATATTTGGTACACATAACAAAGTTTCTTTTAAATGCTAAGAACAAAATATTCCTTTGACCTGGTATCAAAGCATCAAGCATTGAGGGAATAGATCTTTGATCGTCAGTTATTAAAAATAGAATAAGATATTTGTTAACACAATATATCACTTGTTTTGAGAGCCACAACTGCGTAGCCTGCAATTATTTTAATGCTTCTTCATCATCATCATTCAAGGAGTTGAAAAACAATATTGAGAGAATGTTTTACAATATGGTAAGAAATCACATGAAATAAGCTCTAACATTATTAACTTCAGACCACTTGCCACAACATGAGGTCCTTCTCCTTTTAGAGCATTTGGCAGAATCAATTGTAGCTGCTCAATGCACGTTTTACAATGACTACTTGAAATGGCATACTGTGGCCAATTAAACTTCTCCTACATTTCAAAAGATGTCACCTCTAAGTGTTAAATAAAGAATATCATGCTGCAAAAAAAAGACGATGCGCCTGGAAAATATAAATGTTTTCGTCACAACTCGCAAAGCTGTGAAAAGCAAAATAACAGAAATTCAGAGATGAGTTCATAAGAATATCTGTATAAATCTACAAAGAATCCGGACCTGATTTTTTGCATATATTGTAGTTCAAGAAGTCCTTTTTGTAATTACACAAGCAGATCTCGGTTTTGACATGTCTACATAGAGATATAATCCTTTTACTCAGGGCGTGCAATGCGTTGAAAAGTAGAATGACAGAAATTCAAAAGTAAGTTCAAAAGAATATCTATATAAATCTGCAAAGAATCTAAAACTTATTTTCGTATACATTGTAGTTCAAGAAGTTATCTTTATAAAGACATAAGAGGTTCGTGGTTTCGACTTTCGATATGCCAGCACCAAGATATAATTTTTTTAATAGCGTGCACAAAGCTGTAAATAGCAGAATATCATAATTGAGTTCAAAAGCATTTCTGTATAAATATATAAGACATATGGACCTGATTTTTGTATATATTGTAGCCCCAGAAGTTCTCTTTTCAACGGCACAAGTAGATCAGTTTTTTAATTTGCCAGCAGAAAGATAAAATAATTTTAATCAGGGCGCACAAAGCCGTAAAAAGCAGACTACCATAAAATTAGAAATAAATTCAAAAGCATATCCGAATAAATCTAAAAAGAATCTTAACATGATGTTTGTGTATATTGTAGGTTCAGAAGTTCTATTTAACGGCACAAGTGATTTTGACTTCCACCATGATAAATAAAATAATGCATAAAAAATACATGATTATTCAAAAAAGAAATGAGGAAATCAGGGAGAACTAAGTAAAAAAAAAAGAATATGTAATTTGGGAGAACTACATTTGAAAAAATATTGAGGAAGTTCCAACACCATAATTTTTTAGCCAAATGATAGGCTTATTTGTATTCATCAAACATGTATTGCTAAATCAACGTACCATTTGAGGCTTTTGGTAAATCCTTCTTTGATTTTTATAGTTAAGTTTCAATATAAAATTTCTACATTAGCATATTAGAGTATGGATTTACTTGAATTAAAAAAAGTTAAAGCTGTAAGATCTTATATTTTTTATGTTTTGTAAAAGAATTACCTTTCTGTATAAATCGCAAGAATTACAACACGATGTACACATGCATTAAGAATAAGAGCTTCTAAAACACAATTTAATAGAAATATCATCTTAAGAAAGAAACATGTTTGTCAGGATAAAATCTATCATAGAAACCGTTAAGTCCGAAATACCTACCTGCTAACAATCATCTCCTCAGTAACCCTTGTGGCCAAACACAACGAACCAGTAATTGTAGTTGCTAAATTCTCAAGGGGAAGGGTGATCATCGGTAGGCCAGTCCAAAGTACATTTGTTGTAGTGGTATATGCATTGTAGAGTGGCCTAGGATAAAAAGAAACAAATTCATCAGTACGAGTTGAATGGACACCAAATATTGAAAAGGAAAGATGCAATAAAGTTTGTAGTATTCTAACATGCCGAGGCCAAGATCTGCCAAGGTGTTGCCTCAGAGTTACTCTTGTTTTATTGCAACCTTGTGCAACAGCAATTGGAAAAATAAACACTATTAAGTATATTCCCCACAACAGATTTGATATAATATATTAGCATCTGCATAAATATTATGATTTAGATTTGGTCGAGCAGTCTCACACTGATAATGGTAGAAGAGCTCTGTGTACGGTCAAAATCGATTCTCAGTCATAAAGACCGGTGGAGACAATAACATTTCAGTCGAAGGGTATCCGCATGGCGAGCTCGGACGAATTCCGAAGTGGAGACGTCGAGCTTCGAGCCATAAGACCAATCAACCGCAAAACTCGATATCATTATCGAATCCATATCCGGATCGGACTTCATGGTAACGACGACCGACACAAGCCCCGAATATCGATGCTCCAAGGCAGAACCGAGCTCGAACTAAGACTGGGGATTCAATCTAGCACCAAGCTCGAGTCAGTGCCAAGCTCGCAGAACAAGAGCCGTTTCAACCGCACCAAGGGAGAGAATCTTGGCGAGAATCAAGGGAGAGACAAACCATCATAGGTTCTCCACTATATGTATTATTTTATATTGTTACAAATAAAGTAGTGACCCTCTACTATAAAAGGGGAGATAGACTGCAATAGGCAAGGGATGAAGATTTTATTGTGCTTGTTCTTCTAATATTTTTCAGTCTTCCCTTCCATCATTTTCCATTTTCACAGCAAAAATACCTGTATTGTCATTTTATATCAAAAAAATTTACATACCCTTAGAACCATATTTAAATTTAACGTTATCCGATTTTTCAGGTAAACAGTTTGGCGCCCACCGTGGGGCTGAGGGTAACGGTGATTTTCTGATATAAATCTACAGTACACTTCAGCTTACAACTTCGAATTAGCCATGGCTCTACCTATCGACCTCGAAGCCGGCCTTCAAGATGAAACCAACAACTTGGTGCCTGGGGCCGGAAGGCTACCTAACAACGGTAACGAGGCTCGAATCGAAGAACCCAAAATTCGAGCCGAAGTACCACTGGATATCAATTCGCAAATAGCTCTAGAAGCGAATCAGCGTTCTGAACAAGAGAGGAGCGTTCAGGGCGGCGCTCGATCTATATCCCGAGACACCTACAGCACGGGGGAAATCGGGGTCAGCTTGCGTATGATTTTCGAAATGTTGCAAGCCCAACAAGCAGCAATAGCTCAGTTGCAGAGCCGAACCCATACNCTCGATCTATATCCCGAGACACCTACAGCACGGGGGAAATCGGGGTCAGCTTGCGTATGATTTTCGAAATGTTGCAAGACCAACAAGTAGCAATAGCTTAGTTGCAGAGCCGAACCCATACGCAAAGTGGGCCGAACTCCAATCCGCTTCTTCGAGAAGTCACACCCAGAACGGAACCCGCCGTAGTGAAATCAAACGAGCGGAAATCGGGGATTGCTCCTGAAATTTCCGAATTGCTCGAGGAACTCACGAAGTGAGTCGAAGCCAACGACAAAAAAGTGGAAACGTATAACGCTAGGGTCGATCAAATTCTGGGGGCTCTGCCAATGATAAAAGGGCTCGATTCGAAAAAATTCATACAAAAGCCTTTTCCCTCGAGCGCGGCCCCAAAACCAATCCCCAAAAAATTCCGTATGCCCGAAATTCCCAAGTATAACGGTATGACCAATCCTAACGAACACATCACCTCCTACACATGCGCCATCAAAGGCAACGATTTGGAGGATGATGATATCGAATCCGTATTGTTGAAAAAGTTTGGAGAGACCCTCGCAAAAGGAGCGATGATCTGGAATCACAACTTACCACCGAATTCCATTGATTCTTTCGCCATATTAGCGGACTCGTTCGTAAAAGCACATGCTAGTGCAATAAAGGTTGCAACAAGAAAATCGAACCTCTTCAAAGTAAAGCAAAGGGGTAACGAGATGCTGAGGGAATTCGTATCCTTATTTCATATAGAGCGTATGGACTTGCCACCGGTCACAGACGATTGGGCCGTACAAGCTTTCACCCAAGGACTGAACGGGCTAAGCTCGACAGTGTCACGTTGGCTGAAATAAAATTTGATCGAGAACCCTGCAATAACTTGGGCAGATGTACACAACCGGTACCAATCAAAAATCAGGGTCGAAGATGATCAACTGGGAGTTCCATATGGGCCCGTACGACAGAACCATAAAACCACTAAAAATCAAAGGGAAGCCAACATAGAGCAAAGGTCGAACAGAGATCGATACCAACCGTCAACACGGATCGGATGAACAACAGTTCAGCACGTGACACGGTTCGAAAAAACTGAAGGATTGATCGGGGGCAAAATTCTCGGGGACTTATGAGCAAGATCGGCTTTGATAAATATACGGATCCTATAGAAATCCCTTGACTATCGGAGTATAATTTCAACATTGGTACATCCGCCATCGTATCGTCCATCGGACGCATCAAAGACACCAGATGGCCTCAACCCATGCAAACCGATCCTGCCCAAAGGAATCCCAATCAAATGTGCGAATAT